GGTCTAACATGAGCAAGTGACATATATTCAACTTGTTGTTTTGTGTCCTCAAACACATACTTGTCAGAAATTAGAGATTGTTGATACAAAATTGTGCACAGTTTAAAAAGAAAACATGCTCTGGGATAAAAAGAGAAAATACATTTCTTTTAGGAGTATTTTTTTTAAAGAGTTCAACTACCTGGGTCAGTGGCTGACATAATGGCACCGAACAGGAGGGAGTCAGTGAGGAAGAATTCTCCATCTGCAGCATGTCCCAGCAGGACCATGAGTCTGGTGACGCCATAGATGCAGGCCCTGGTGTTGAGATCAAACAGATGGAGGGAATAGTACACTGAGGTCATTAAGGTGGGGAAGGCATCAGTTATCTCACTGAACACAGCAGGGCTCCCCCTACAGTGGTCTGGGTAATGGGGGAAGACACAACCAGCAGGTGAGGAGACCTCTTTCCAGGCAGCGGTTGCTGATTATTCTGCTCACATTTGGAGCAAGGTTATAATAGTTTAGGATTTTTCATTATAGTTTAGTTTTATTTCGTTTTGACTTTTTTCTTTTAATTCATTTAGTTTTTATTAGTTTTTACAGTGGATTTGCTAGTTTTTATTAGTTTTTATTGTTTGTTTGATGCTTAGTTTTAGTTTAGTTTAGTTTTTATTAGTTCTAGTATTAGTTTTCTTATAGTTAAAAAAATTATTTGCCAATGCACCTCCTGCTTGTGGTGTTTCTGAGTTAACTAACCAGCAGCCAAGGGTGTAGGAATGAGTTTACTATTGGGGGTACACATAATACTGGAAACCTGACAGATTTGTACACTGTCTGAGCAGAAATATGTCATAAATTAATTACACTGCAAAGCATTCACAAAATGCTATTGAATCTTTTCTTGGAAAAATGGTGATGTGGGTAAACCACCCAACAAAATATCTCAAATCTAATAGGATTGCACAGCATAACGAATATACTGTCATCACAAAGTGTGCAATATACATACCACAAAGAACTTCTTGATGCACAATAATTGTTGACTAATGTGCTTGAAGAGATTTGAAGTTGCATTTTTCATGTTAATGCAATATTTAGCCAGTTGGACAGAGTCTCATGGCAGCAAAAGCTCACACCTGACCAAAAATTCTAAAATTCACATAAAATAGGAAGTACAGATTAGAAAGAGAAGAAAGAAAAAAAAAGACATACCGGTAGATCACATCCTTCTCTTTGAAAATAAACAGGATTCCACATGCAAAATACATTTTTAGAGAAACTATCTAAACAGCTATGTCTGTTGTGTTTATTAATATAGGATATATTAATATTTATTTAGGTAACACTGATATGGACACTCAACAGAGTATCAGTGTTTGCATCAAAACAGAATTACAAGAAAAACCAGTGAATTTGTAAAGACTTTCTGAAGGTGGGAGTAGAATAACTCAGCGGAAGAATTTTCATCAGCTCAGGGGACAGGCACTAATAAAGTCTAAAATATACCTGTCCATAGTGCTGGTTTTATCTCCTTTGTTTAAAATAAATAAATAAGTAAGTAAATAAGTAAGTAAATAAATAAATAAATAAATAAATAAATAAATAAATAAATAAATAAATAAATAAATA